AGACATGGTTTCATCCCTAGGCTATACTAATGTTATCTTTGAAACAGATTCTAAAGAGTTGGTGCAAGCGGTACAAAGGAAGACGAGCTGGGCGGTACTTCAAGTGGTGCACCATGATGTGCAGCAAAGCTTGCTGAAGATGGGCGATTAACAGATTCGTTTCTACCCACGAGAGGGAAACATAGTAGCTGATCGAATTGCAAAAGAAACTATCTCATTTGAGAATAATGTTTCCAGGTTGTATTTATTAGTGGCTAGATGGTTAATACCTAGTGTTGAGGCTGATATGCCATGTTTGTAAGAAATATTGGTTAATATTTGAGTAGAAGTCGAGAAGAAAGAAAAAAAAAAAAGCTCCAATTTGGGCTAGAGTATTGGAAGCTTCTGATCGCAGCAGAGTATTCTAGTTACCAGCGAAAATCTGAAATACAGTAGGCCAAAATCGACGAGGAAGAAAGGTAAAGCTAAAGCGAGCGAGCGAGGGATTCGCGCATCGGAGGCAGATATGCTTCAGTGTATATTTCTCCTCTCCGATTCCGGGTGAGTCATCTTCAACCCTTTCCTTCTGATATCCAGATCCACTCTGAAATTGACTTTCGTTGTTCGGTTTGCGTTGGCAGAGAGGTCATGCTGGAGAAGCAGCTTACGGGTCACCGCGTCGATCGCTCCATCTGTGCTTGGTTTTGGGATCAATCTATTTGTCAAGGCGATTCCTTTAAGGTAGCTTATAGCTCCATGGACATATTTTGGATCCAAATTTCAAGACTTTTAACTTCTGGGTGGTCTTTTGCTCTTGGTTTAGCTTGATTTTTACTGGGTCTTATGCTTTGTTTTGGATAGTCACTTCCAGTGATTGCTTCACCAACACATTACCTTTTTCAAATCGTTCGGGACGGTATCACTTTCTTAGCTTGCAGTCAAGTTGAAATGCCACCATTGATGGCAATCGAGGTGAATCTTAACTCCTTTGCAATGTTCCATGAATGGTGGAATACAGATCAACTAGAATTCCCTCTCTGTTGTGATAATCCTTTCAAGTTTAGTTTCTTTGCAGAGTCGCTGATGTTCTGTCTGATTACCTTGGTGGGCTAAACGAAGATCTCGTTAAGGATAATTTCATCATTGTCTATGAGGTATCATTTTTAAAACAGTATGCCATTTTGTTTCTCTTTTTATTTGACGAAACTATGTCAGCCATTATGGTTTCTGCATTTCATCAGTCTTAGCTCCTCTGTGCTCTCTTGTGGCTCGTTTGTTACTATGGCTTTCCATTTGTGACAATAAAAAAAAGCAGACATTTTGGGATAAAATATACAGCGATTGGATTCCTTCTATTGGAACTAGAGAATTTATATTAATCGTAAAGGTTTGTAGCTTGTGTTGTTCTTGTTTCTCTATGTTAATATCGTTATTTCTCAAGTCTCACTGTTCTTGGATTGCTTGTGACAAACAAAGTAGACAGTTGTTACATTTTCCACCTTATGACTGATCGAGGAACAAAGAGCCACGTGCTTCCAATTTGTTACGGAAAATACATCATTTTGTTGAGGCTTACTGTGATGGACTGTCCTTACTTTCCTGTGTACTTGTTTCATAGGTCTGCATTAACTGAGAGATTATCAGATTAGTAGCTTCTTTGTGTATGTCAAAGTTTGTTTTTCTTGCTATGGCCTAACCCTTTCTTGGATTAACTTAGTTACAGAATTTTGTGACTTGTTGTAGCTATTGGATGAGATGATCGATAATGGTTTCCCTCTCACAACAGAACCGAGCATCCTTAGGGAAATGATAGCTCCACCGAATCTAGTCAGCAAAATGTTGAGTGTTGTGACGGGAAATGCTTCCAATGTTAGTGACACGCTCCCGAGTGGGACTGCCTCTTGTGTTCCATGGCGACCGACAGAGCCAAAGTACTCTAGCAATGAAGTCTATGTTGAGCTCGATGAAGAAATGGATGCAATCATAAACAGGTTTGTGCTTCAAGAAGATTTACAAATCGTCATACAACCTTCAAGACTCATCTCACTCAAATCATATTTTGAAAACACTGATTCAGGGATGGAGAATTGGTAAAATGTGAGGTTTATGGCGAAGTACAAATGAATTCCCAGCTCACAGGTTTTCCAGATTTGACATTGTCGTTTGCAAATCCGTCAATCCTAGAAGACATGAGGTTTCACCCGTGTGTCCGCTTCAGACCTTGGGAATCTCATCAAGTTCTCTCTTTTGTCCCTCCCGATGGGCAGTTCAAGCTCATGAATTACAGGTTTGTTGTTTCACATACAAAATTTATCCTCACCTTAACTTATTACTTGAAAGATTTATTTTAATGTCTGTTCCTCTGTGGGCATCAGGGTGAAAAAGCTGAAGAACACACCTGTGTATGTAAAGCCTCAAATAACATCAGATTCGGGTACATGTCGAATTAGCGTTTTAGTAGGTGTAAGAACCGACCCGGGAAAGACGATTGAGTCGATATCCTTAAGTTTCCAGCTTCCTCATTGTGTTTCATCAGCAGATCTCTCATCAAATCATGGAACTGTAACCATCCTCTCTAATAAGGTAATAAGCTTTTAAGAGCTTTGAGATCAGTATACTGATTTGGAAACTTTCCTTTTTGATTGGGGACTATGTTTGCAGACATGTACTTGGACAATCGGGCGAATACCAAATGATAAGACTCCGTGTTTGTCAGGGACTCTAACACTGGAAACGGGTTTAGAACGGCTTCATGTGTTTCCGACATTCCGACTCGGTTTTAAGATAATGGGCATTGCTCTATCTGGCCTAAGAATCGAGAAACTTGATCTTAAAACTCTCCCTCGTTTGTACAAAGGGTTTCGTGCTCAGACCCGCGCTGGAGAGTTTGACGTCAGATTGTAATTTTCTGTTATGGTTGCTTTTCCAGTCAAACTCTTGAGACTTTAGGCTCCTGTTAATTGTTCGAACCAAATTTGTTATTTGTTTAAACGAAAAACAAAAATGATCATGGAATGATTTTTGTGAAAGTTATGATATGGTATGGGTTCCGGTTCGTAGCT